ACTTCCCATTGTTGTGAATAAGTAAAAATAGTCATGCAGCAACAGACAGCAAATGCAAAGAAGCTGATAAAAACAGTGGGCCACCTAGTTAGCTGCTGCAAAAGATCGCACAGAATGACTACAAACAGCAATATAGCAAAGTAGCAACATAATTGTAATATCTGTAAGAAACACCAAACACCTTGCCTGCAAGCAAGAAACTGGTCGGACAAAGTAATAGAAATATGAAGAAGTTAAAGTGCTCTGGGACTTTAGAATTCAAATAGACAAACATTTGCTATCTAATACCCTAGGCTTAACAATTGTCGATAAGAAGGATAAAGTCTGGATAACAGACATTGCAGTATCTGGAGAAAGTAGACAGGAAGAGAAAGAACTAGAGAAAAATGAAAAGGTGTGCAAATAGAAATAGAACGAGTGTGGCAAAAGAAGGTAAAGGAAGTATCAATAGTAATAGCATCTTGGGCCTGAATACCACTGGGATTGACAAAATCACCGCCAGTCAATTGCAAAAGGCAATTGCAATTTACTTAGAACAGCTTACATCCTGTGATGATAACTTTAATACCATTAAACAGCACCATCTGCCTATCCCAGGACTTTGGGAAAGACTCAATAGGTGGATAAAAATGCCAAATCCAGTTTAAACATCTGGCTGACTGTGCGACCAACCATAATAATAATCTTTTACTTCATTAAAACATCAGAAAAGACAGCAAACACTTTATGGTGCATTGATTTTCTCTCTCTCTCTCTCTGTTTCCTTCCTTCTTTCTTTTCTAACTCCTTAATGTCTCTCTTAAAATCTTCTAACCAAGGACGTGTTTTTGGTTTCCTTCACTTGAACTTACCATCCTCAGGTTTTGGGGGAGCCGAAGGAATGCTGTTCAAGATTGGGCTTGGCAGCACTGAAGCCTCAATCAGTCATCCATCTTGCTAATAAAGTGACATACAGCAACATTGCTATTCAATAGAGTCTCCAGCAGTTCATTTGGCTAAGTTAATCTTCTCCTGTCCAAATCTTGCAATTTTATTACAACATGTTGATGAGATGTCTGGTGGGCCAGGCAGACGAAGAAAAACAGGCTTCGGTGAGATCCTTGCAAACCCGTGAACTTTTTTTTCAGGTATCTGGTCCCACATTAAAAATGGATAAGCTGCACAATAGCCAGTGCTTGAGCTTTGCTCTAAGTGTTACCACCGAGGGATCTTTATAATACATTGGAAAATGGCAAAATCGCTTTTCCCAATGGATTCTAATGAAAAATTAATACAGTAAGTAATAGGAAAAAATTTTTTTTTGCTCTGCCTACTTTGTGAAGAAAACCACGTCTCGCTGTCATTTAACAAAGGATGCAATATTAATAGTTATGATTATGATTAAAATTCCAGTTTCAGTTGCTACTCTGGTTCTTGGGACTTTTAGGGGACAAAAGGCCACTTATGAGTTTGAATCAATGAAAAGGTTATAAATATTTCTTTTGATAGGTTATTTGGTCCCGCAAATATTGTTTTTTTTAAAAAAAAACAACCCCAGAGGAAATCATGCATGAGAGAGATGGCAAGAATTCTTCCTTGACCAAGCAGGTGAAGTTGTAGTGGTAGACTTTATCCCAGAGATTTAGCTATACTTTATTATTACTTTAATTCACAGTCCATTAAGAAAAAAAAATCCTGCAATTTTGCTGACAGGCTCCAATTGGATCCCATGCCCCAGTGACCAATCTAGATGGGAAACAGTGAGGATATGGAAGTCGTTAGAAAATGATTTAATAGCAAGCCCCTAGATGGTGGATTTATTACTCCAGCAGTTTTCTTTTCAAACAAGGGTTTGCAAATCTAGTTCCTGATTAATCGTATATAAGTCTGTAGCTGTCAGTGAGAACTGGCTGGCATAAATATGGACTAAGGATGATTCCTGATTATGCGGCTCTTTTGACTGTTTATTACTTCATGCAACTTAAACTCATCATCTTCACAAGAGGAAACTATATATTATTATGTTCCACCTCCCCCCTACCCCCCCTTCCATGCCATATTTTTCACTAATTCCATAGCTTTTTATGTGCAGGGGAAATTAGGGATGAAGAAACATTCCACAAAATGTTCCCATTTATTAAGTGGTGGTGATATCCAAATGCAGCTGGAACACCTCAGTCAGAGGCCTGTTTTTGTAGGCCCATTCTCATTCACTTCTCCTCTATTGCCTCTGTTTGAATCGGAGTTGTTCTGCTCTATTCTTCAACGAAGACAGCAGTAGAAATGTAATATTAATCATTTTGTACTCTTGATGGCTTCATTGGACAATGCATCAGTTATATTGGATTGGGAAAGATACTGCTCAAATGCTATTAGCTCTGCCTCCATTACTGAGCTGGGATTTTAGTCCTTATTTAAAGAACTCTGCTGCACTGGGAATAATATACTTGGAAGGTCATCATGTTTTATCCATCCCATTATTACTTTATATATTGCATTCTAGGAATTAATGTTGCAGATTATACTTCACAGTGGTGCTATTTTTTCTTTATTTATATTTCATTAAAAAACACCCCACAACAAACTGAACTGGGCTTTTAAGAATGCATAAATTATGGTCTTGTTCTAAAAGTTTATAGAAGCGTTACGTTGATAGGTTGCTGATGATAGAATATCTGGGGGGCGGGGGGGGGAACACACATAGGGTACATGATGGGATCATAGAAGATAGGAATTGCCCTCAAAATGTCTGGGGGGGAACCAGCTTGGTGTAGGCTGCTCTAGCTATTTCTTTGAGTGTGCCTGGTGTTTCTCCTTTCACAGAGTTCATCTGGGTGGTTGAAGTGCTATCCATCCATCTTTGAGCTACCAGAAAAATCAATGTTGCCATTAATATGCTACTCTGATCCCTATTTTACCACAGGAACAAGGCTGGCAAAGAGTACTGTCTTTATTTATTCATTGCACGTTCTGCCTCTTTAAAGAAATATAGACTGTAATGAACTTGGCAAGTTAGGTATGTTGTAGCAATAAGTAACAATGAAATGGCCATTTAGTATTATCATTTCTGTTTTGAAAAAGAAGGCAGTTTTGGTTTACAAAAACAACAAAAACAAGCCCACAACAAAAAACTTGATTGATTCACAACAATGAAGTTATTTATTTGCGAGAATGAAAAAGGAATGAAGCAATATTTTGATTAGAGATGAAATGTGCTTTCCTTTTGGAAATAAATTTTCATTTCTTGTTTATCTGAATTAATATTCAGTTTTATTACCTGTGAAAATGCATAACTCACTAAATCATACTGATTATACATTCCAGGTTTGTAGATCAAGTATATATTTTTTTTCTCTCTGAGAAGATATTTGCATCCCTGAAATGAATGGTAATAAGAAAATGCAGGGAGATATCTTGCTTTAAGCCTAATGACTATGCCTGAAATAATGGGACTGAATATAAAAGAGAAGGAGATGATGGAGATCGAAGGATTTGTATTAACTGTACTATTATTTCCAAAAATAATAGGTTGCTTAGGTATCTTGATTATGGTTATCTATAGCATTTGATTTTTCTTTTTATAAAGGCAACTATTTGCATGCAAAAGAAAAGATAAAACAAGATTTATCCCAAAGAGCTAATATAATAGTACAGATGAGACACTATTCTCTTCTAAAATAAATGCTTTACTCAGGGCAATATTTTTGCTTAATGTAATGCCAATTTAAATACTTAATGTCATCTTGGTGAAAGTACAGGCTTAGATTATGAAATTTATATTGGAGGGTGTTTTTTTTTAAAGGATTTGTTTTCTACAAAGAAAAAGAAAAGGAAGGAAAGAAAGAAGGAGAAGGGGAAAAAGTGAGAGAAGAGGGATGAAAAACAAGGCTTGCCCCATTATATGTTAATTTACCCAAAGCACTGTAGTAAGTGATATTCCAACCTCTGCCTCACCCAGATCAAGGTGCACGGTGTCCAAATTATACTGGAACTGGAGGCAGAAAATCCTACAAGCACTTCTCTCCAAATATAATTAGAATAAAATGAATAGTGTGAAGGAAATTACTATTGTTAGCAGGATCAGACTTATTTTCAGTTGCTTTTAATTCAAATTAATTGTGTGGAGGGGTAGGAGGAGTAGCCCAACTAAAAGAAAATGTCAGTTTAGCCAAGTTTCTTAATATAGGATTGATAGGGTTATTCCCTATTCTGTTTTTCCCTTTTCTTATATCTTGACAGCAGATCTGAAACTCAAATGGAGAGGGAAAAAAAACATTTCTACCACAAGAGTAGCAAAGTAGGAAAGAGAGGAGTAGCCTTAGAAACAGAGGTGCCTTACAGGATCCTGTCCTTCTAGTGTATCATATAGACAAGATATGCAGGGTTAGTCCTAATAGTAGTTACCAACAGTAATAGTAGGGGCTGAGTGATTAAGAGGCACAGAGAAAGCACTATCTTGTGTAAGTCCCCTCCCTCAAACCTGTCAGCTGGCATATAAGCAGTTATTAAATAAGGGCTCACCCTTTTCCAGAAGAGGCTGAATAGGCCTCACTTTTTTTCTCATTTCACCTGCCACCCAGTGGTGGGATTCAAATAATTTAACAAACCGGTTCTCTGCCCTAATGACCAGCTGGGTAGGCGGGGTTCAGTGGTCATGTGACTGGGTGGACATGGCCAACTCAATGTCACTCACGTCGACGGGCGCTCCAGCTTACCTGTTGCAATGTAATAAGGGTTAACCGGAGAGGCAGTTTCTGTAAGCAGGGCAATAAAGATTAGGCTAGAAACAACACCAGAATGTTTCCTTCCTGNATACAGTCTTTAGTAGATAATGTGGCCAGTGTTGTAGGGATTAGTTGTCATTGTGGAAGATTAACTTCCCTGTTTCTGGCCTCTGGGTTCATGGCAATAGGCTTTGGGAAACACTTCTGTAAAATATTTTTGCCCATAGGCAGATGTAATTACATGAATTTTGTATTGTGGTGTGAAATGGAATTATTGATTCTTTTTAATAATTAAATCACCATGATGTTTCTGTAGGATGTGAGTTGAAGGGAGACAAGCCATATCACTTTAAGGTGAATGATGAAGAAAACGAACATCAACTTTCTCTAAGAACGGTAGGTTCCTCCCCCCCCTTTTTTTTTCTTGGAAATTTCTCAGTTGTGAGTCAGAACACTTATTTGATGCTTACGGGCCTTAACTGCTTTTTGGGCAAGAGTTGCAATTGCTTAAAATGTTCATCACCATGCACAGTAGCTTCAGATGTGCATAATCAGCAATTACTTGCAAACTAGTTATGGTAGCATGTGCCAAGTTGATACATTTCATTATTTCTGGATAGATAATAACACTACATTTTCTTTTACTAGTGATTGCTGTGGGAGGGACTTGAGACCTAAAGGAACACCTCAAACATTGTGTTTTGTAATGCAGGTTAGCTTAGGAGTTGGTGCTAAAGATGAATTGCATGTTGTTGAAGCGGAAGCATTGGACTATGAAGGCAATCAGATAAAAGTCACATTGGCTTCCTTGAAGATGTCGGTTCAGCCTACGGTAAGAGTATTTCTTGTTTAGTAAAAGGAGTAGCAAGAATTATAAACATTGTAAATCACTATTTTGGCAGTGGTTCCATTCTTACCACTGAGAATTTTAAACTGCTTTAAGTACATTGCTTTCTCTTCTTGAAGCCATTATGGGAACTTTGGGTAAGAAAAATTGAGTATCAGTTTTTTTCAGAAAAAGTTATAAGAATAATTTACATAATAAAAATGCATTTTGATGAATATGTTTCAGTTATTTCAATCAATCAAATCTTTGTTCTCAGACCAATGAGTAGAATACAGAAACCGGTTAATTAAAATATCCGATTTTTTGTTTTAGCAATTGTGGATCCTATAAGAAAATTCCTAATCTTACTCTTTAACTCTCCAACAATCTGATTGTTTATTACTGCAAACATTTTTCCTGCTTCCGTAGAGGAAGGAAGTTGGATAGAGTTACCTTCTTCCTTGTATTATGTCAACTGACTTGTTCTTTCCTTAGTGTTCTCAGCTGGATTCACTATATAAAACTACACTTGCCAGTTATCCTAGTTTGGATGATTGTGTATCTACTATTTGATAAGAGGACAAATAAGATTTGGGAATGGAAGGAAACTTCTCATTAGTGCAAAGTAGACAGTCTTGAAATGTACCCCAAGAGTTATGCAAGTAATTACAGGCCTCCATTGATTAAAGATTCAAAGTCTGCCCAAAAACTTTGGATTTTTTTTTTAAGAAAGTGGAAAGAACCTATTGTAACAGGAATACCATGTTCGTTATTCTACTAGCTTGTTAAGGATTTTACTTGTGAAGTTAAATATGCTTTTTAGATCCCTATAAATTGTTCTTAGAAACCTTTTACTTATTGCATTGGCATATTACTATTGACAGGGCTTGATCTAATTGGTAACTGCTGAGAATTGATGCTGTTATTCAATAAACTTTTAAAAACCTAATTGGCCTTTTAATAGGAGAAGGGTCTCACTTAATAGGCAATCACATTCAATACATATTAGAAATAATTTTGCACATGCTTTGACCCAACAGTTCTCATTTGATTACGATGCTTATTGTTGCAACCTTTTGGTATCGAGATAGGAAATTTATTAAAGGAGAACATGAACACAGCTCTTAGTGGGACTCCTTCCGTTAGTTTTTACCATGCTTACCATTTTCATTCTCTCAGGTCATAGCATCTCCCTAAGAAACAAAAGAGGTCTCTTCCTTGATCCCGATTCTTCACTAAGGCTTTGTTTTAATGACTCTTCAAGAATTGTTTGTTGTGAGGCAGGAATTCTCCATACACAACATGAATTGTCATTCATTTGTTTATTTCTTCAGCTAGACCTCCCATTTCTCTAGAATCTTTTCTCCTGATCCTCCTTAGAGTCGCATATGTGATATGATTGCCATTGGAGAATATCTTAAGCATTGCATCCCGCCCTAAATCGGGATCAATGGCGTGCTGTAATCCGTGACGTCCTGCCCCTGGCCTTCACAATGCAACGGTCACTGCCTTATGGACGTTGACATTTACGAAGATTAAGTCCAAGTTAAGCATTGTATGCCTTTGTCTTAATGAGCTGATTCTAACCTTTTTTAAAAGAAAGATCTTTTAAATTTTGTCAGGATAGCTTAGCCATAATTCATAGACTGCAACTTGAAAATGCCTTGAAGTAATTGAACAAAAATTGAAAACCAGGAACAACTTGATTAGAAAAATTGCAGGAACAGATGGGAGCACAAATAAAACTTGGCCTAGAGTCGCACAGTTATTAGAATACTCTATTGTTGAATACTACATACCTGTATGGGGAAGTAGTTGTCATACAAATAAGATTGATGTTCAACTTAATGGCTCAATGAGAATATCTCAAACCCTGAAATCCACACCACTCTCATGGCTCCATGTTGTTTCTGACATTCCCCTCCTGATTTCAGGCGACAACAACAGGTAGTTGAGAATGGAATACCAGTATATAAAATATTAAGACTTTCTACATTTTCACCAGGCTAAATCTAGCAAACCAATTTGGGATAACATGGCTGCAGTTTTACAACCTAGGTAAAGAATTGCGATTAAATTGGGCAACTTTAAGAACTGTAACCCAACAGACCATCCAGATCCAAGAAAACCACCCCCAGGAATACAGTTGTCCTAAAAATATGGAGCCACCTAAATAGAATCCGGCCAGAACTAAGGCAAAGCTGTTTAAATGGAGGATGGCTGAGAGCCTGCAATTGATAATATAATTTAAAAATTCTCAGGAAATTTCAAGGCACCTAGGTTGATCTCATCTCACAAACAATTAGGTGGTTTCCATTGTGACTATATGATATATTGTGATTTTATTATGGTTTTATTGTAATTTAATATTTTATCTCGTATATTGTCCACATGTTATATATGTATACATACATACCTATTTGCTGATTATTTAAATTTATATTTGTATATCACTGATTGCGTAGCCTCTGTGGATGCCATAGACTAAATAAATAGACTGCAACTCCTGCATCCAAGTTAATAATTCAGAAATAATTTTATTTCTTTCCACTTTATATTGGAAATGCTACTTTGTTACAATCAAGTCTTCATTGCTAAAAATAATGGATAATGGATGGTAGCTTGATGTTAGGCAAGGAGCAAAAAGACAGATTTTAATTCATGTTTGGCGATAGAAAGTCCTGTAAGGAAAGAAAACAATTATTCAAATGCTGTTTTTAAGCAGGCGTAACTAGTGATAGAAGCTACAGCTTTAAATTATTTTCTTCAGCAGATCCCATGAACAAAGATTCCTGTCCTTCCCTATGTCAATAAATATTGATGAACCTCTCTTTATCTAATTAATCAGTACATAGCAGAGTTACATATCTGGCAAGCTCTGCCACCAGGGCTCAAGAAGCGAGAAAGCGCTGTAATATTGATTTCAAGCATAGAATCTGAAGCCTCAAGATTTAAGCACTATGCACATCAAGGTCAATTAAAGCAACATGCTTTGCAATTCACAAAATATGATTGGGAAGACTTCTCTAAATGTGCAGAGAACGGGGCAGAAATGTATGCTTGCGTTAAAGGTACTAAAAGTCTAGCAAAATTAGGTCCTTCATATCCTGAATTGGAAGTAACTGATAACTGATTCTCTACATCTCTAGTTGTTATTGAAAGGCAAACAATTGTAGGCACTATTCATACATTTTGATTGAGTTGTGGCATCGGAGTAATCCAGCAAAATGACTATATGTTTAATTATTGCTGTTCTGCATTTTCCTGTTATGTCAACACTGTGAAAGAGCCACGATTGGAAAAAACTGAAACTCTGAAAAAAGCCCTCCCTTTTTACAACCCTGTAATTTGAAGCAAACACTCCAAAGGACCTTTTATGGCAAGCTTGCTTTGCTCTAAGTTTGTGATAAAAGTTTTGTTTTTTTTATGTACTTGGTTTTGAATAGTGCAGTACAAATACTTTTTGAGTATGTTTTTGTGTTTAAAATGAAAAGGTTAAGAAATATATGCAACCTAAAGAACAAAAGCATGGGGGCCCGGGATCATATTCTAAAGTAAGGATGCTGATACAGAGACTATCATTCTCTGGATTTCAGCCGTCTGATCATTAGATGGGGAGCATCCTTCCCTGCTGGGTCATATAGGGTAGGAAGATCCAACCGTATCAAAGAAAGAAATTTGTAGAGTAAGTAATCCCCAGCACCTTGAATTTTACCCAGAAGCCTACTGGTAGCCTATGAAACAGATTTGTTATTCTCTGAACTGGCTAGAGTGCCAAGTTGGTAGCTGTATTTTGAGTCTTTGTTATCCTCAAGGACATTTTTGCATTTCTTCCCCTTAAAGTAAAAAAAACCACCTTTTTCGTCTTTCCCAAGTTAGTTAACTTTGAGCAAAGGATCCTTTTTTGGATTGCAATCTTTAGCTTTGTTTGGAAATAATAGCAACCTCCTTCAGCCTGGTTTGGTTTGAGTTCTAGTTAATGATGTTTCTGCTTGTCACTGTTCTGTATTTTTTGTGCTGTTTTTTTGGTCATTTCAGCACAACTTTCTGTTTTTCTTTTAAGGTTTCATTAGGTGGCTTTGAAATTACACCTCCAGTAATTCTGAGATTGAAAAGTGGTTCAGGGCCTGTTTATGTCAGTGGACAACACCTTGTAGGTATGAACATTTGTAACATTCTGTGTTTTAATTTGGGTGGCTATTTACGTTCAGCTTGCTAAAGTAAATTTAGTTACCGTATATACTCGAGTATAGGCCGGCCCGAATATAANAGTGGTCAATTTGTTTTCCCTATTCCCTACACATTTTACTTTCTGTGAAGGAAAACAGCACCAGGCTGTACCTAGAGGTAAAAAAAAAAGTCTGGACTGGAAGGACATTTTGAGAATTATAATATAGAAAGAAGTTGTTTCCTCTAATCTGCCCTTAAAGATTATTTTAAAGATCAGATAGGAGAAACACCTTCCTATTTTTTTCTATTGAGTTGAAAAGTGAAAAAGGATGGCAATTCAGTTGTTTTAGATCACATTGGTTAGAGAAATGTTTGGAATAAATTCAAAAAGAAACCTCTTTCCAATTAAAAGGTGTTATAATATAAGTCTAAATTAAAAATGTATTGGCTTTGGCTCAATTAACAGTTTGTTGCAGAGTTAACTTATATAGTACATGTTTCTGGAGGCAGCATCACTAGGTGGAGCTGCAGCTTAAAATAGTCTGATTTTCTACAAAGATAAATAAAAATAGTTCTAAAACACTAGTTTACACATCATATAGATAAATAGGTGGTAGAAATAAGGAAACATTCAGTCAGATGTGGCTGCCATTTTGAATACACAACTCTTACAGGTAAATTACTTTTGCTTTATTTATTGGTAAAAATTTATTGACTGCATATCTTATCACAGGATAACTGCAATTCTGGTTGGCTGCAACATTTTTTTCCAGACAGCTTTGTATGCTACACAAATAGATTAATATATGCTCTGTAAACCAAATTGCTCAAGCAGGCTACATTAGAACTAAACTGATTTAGAGCCCTTCCCACCCTTTGAGGCAAAAATGTCTTAAAAGCATGATGACAGATGAATTTTGCTAGATGAATATATAGATACTATTGTATAATTGGCTTTGTTTTGTAAGAGGAGGAAAAAAAGAGCTTTAGTTTTTTATTTGCCTGGCTATGGTGTAAAAATGAGAACTCTGATAAATAACTGCTTTCAGTGTCTGTGAATTCGGATTTCCTTCTGGTTTAACTCAAGGAATTTGTTTAACTCGGGGAATTTGCTNAAAATGAGGACCCAGATTGTTGGGGGCGATATGCTGACTCTGTAAACCGCTTAGAGAGGGCTGAAAGCCCTATGAAGCGGTATATAAGTCTGCTATTGCTATTGTTCCACAGCAAGTTGTCCTGTGGCGATTTGGCCGTAGCAAGTTAGCCATACTGAGTTGGCTGTGGCAAATTATCAAAGGAAACCTCTCCCCCCCCCACACACACTTACTCTGTTTGCTCCAGTGTAAAATTGGATATGGGATATCAAATTTATTAGAATTAACAGACTAGGAATTTACATAAACTGAATTTTGATTGTAGTGATGATGAAGACGAGGATGAAGAGGAGGAGGAGGAAGATAAGACTCCACAGAAAAAGGTAAGTTATTTCTACTCAAAAGTGCTTCATTTGAGATGAAAGTAGACTTAAGGTGTACATAACAGAATTGAATTTAAGGGATTCAAAGGAGATGAATGTTTCCTCTGCTGAATATTTTTATTTTTGCTTTTCAAAACATTTTGGGTGGACAGAGCGCATCATTACATTCTTAGTGTTTTATGCCCCTTGTTGCTTCTAATTCTGAAATTGGGTTTTCTGTAGTCCATATGCAGAGCATTATTTTCCTGTCTTCACCCTGCTATTTATGGACCCATTTAAGAGTAACTTTTTTGTCTCCTCTTTTCCCATAAAATACATTTGCTTTTTCTGTTTCATGCTTTCTCACATTACATCGCTTTTTGAATGGTAAGGTAGTACTCTGAATGGTTTCCAGCAAATGTCTGGAAATCATTGTTGATACCATTCAGCTGGCACAATGGGTTATTTTATTTTTTCCCTATATGCTTGACTTTCTGTGAAGGAAAACTCTACCTGGCTGCATTTAAAAAGAGGTGAAAAAAAGTTTGGACTGGAAGAACATTTTGTGAATCATAAGTTAGAAAGAAGGTGTTTTCTCTTGTCTTACAGTTTTTTTTAAAGGATTAGATAGGAGAAACAACATCCTATTTCTGTTACAAGTTGAAAACAAAAAGGATGGCAACCGTTTCAAATTGCATTTGTTTAAAGAAGTGCTTGGATTAAATTATAAAATAATTTGCTTTCAAGTTAAGGAACATTAAGTAAATTTTCCTGCATTTGGCTCAATTCATACTTTGTTGCAGAGTTAAATAATTATAAATGTTTCTGGAGGCAGCATGACTAGGTGGAGCTGTAGCTTAAAATAAGTTTGATTTTAATATAAAAATAGTTATAAAACACTAGTTTACTCCATATAGATAAATAAAATGTTTGAAATAAGTAAATACTCAGTCAGATGTGGCTTCCATTTTGAATACATGATTCTTACAGGTAAATTATTTTTGGTTGACTATGTTTTTTTCAGAAAATGCACAGACATATATTTCTTGTAAACCAAATTGTTCAAGCAGACTACATTAGAATTAAACTTATTTAACAAACCCTCCCTCCATCCCTTTGAGGCAGAAAGTGTCTTTAAAAATATTAAATGAATTTTGTTGATTGGAAAATAAGCACTAAAAAATTGGGACTGCTACCACAATGTTACCTTGGTAATAGATTGCTTTGAAATTTGTCAAATTTGGTACTTGATGCATTTGGACTCAAAAAATTTGTCCCAGTATTCATCATTTGTTTAGTACTCAATATGTAAACCTCCCTCGAGGCTGACTGCCTTTTTCAATTGAAACAAAAGGGTTACAAATTAGTTACATAGTAGCTCTTGCCCTGTGCACATCCCCTTGTGGTCTTAGCTTCTGTGGTCATTTTGTGTATTTTTGTACACAACATTGGGTCCTAATAAAATGAGCACTAATAGCATTGAGCAGAAAAGAAAATTACTTTGCCATCACTGTTGAGAAAATTAAATAAATAATAGGCAAATACATGAGCGGTATTTGCATTACTGATCTTGCTAGGGAATATGGTACGCCTAAAGCAACGATCTCCACCATAATTAAGAATAAAGCAAAAGGAATTAAAGCAGTAAAAAGCAGTGTTTCCAATCATTGGAAGTTGAAAAGCTGCTGTTAATTTGGGTAAATGAGAAGCAGCAGGCGACAGTGTATTGGAAGGCATGATATGTGGAAAAAGGAAAACTGTTGCATGCTGATCTTTTGAAAAACAAACCGGGACTGAATGGTGAGAGAGTTAAACTTTTTAAGGCCAGCCATGACTGGTTTGATAATTTTAAAAAGAGGACCGTCATCCATAGTGGTACGCATGGCAAGACAGTGAGCATTAATAAAAAGGCTGCTGTTGAATTCGTCTGTGAATTTCATGACTACGTAGAGGCTGAGAATTTTGCAAGTGGGATCTGTCTTAAAGTTGTAAAAACTCCCTGTGAGTTTGTGCAGGTGGACTGGAACAGGACAATCCCATTAGGATATGGAGTTGTCTTAATACAAATAAAGAGAAGTTTTTGTTTTATTCAATCCAAGTACAGTATTTATTGTTACGGTTATATCTCACGTAAAGTAATATGCAAGCCTATCTTTTTACTTATGGTATTAAAAATGTGCATTTTCTTTGGTTTGGGAACACATTAAATTATTTGCATTGTTTCTTATGGGAAGAATTTGTTTAGTATTCATCCAGCTTTCTGAACCAACTAACGAGTACCAAGATACCACTATATTTGGTTAGACTCCACTAGAATAGTGAACTTTGCATTTTCATTACAGTAAGAACTGATAGTTAACCCTTTGTACTAGTGGCATGCTGTAAATTTTCATTAATTACAGCAAACATGGACAATAGCATAGGCTATGGAAATTGTAGTGCAAAATGTGTGGTAAAAATAGTTGGTTTAGTTTCTTTCTTGATTATATTAAAACGAGGCAGGCTAACATTTATTCTACTTTTAGCCTGCCAGAGATTCTTCTGTGAAGAAAACACCAAAATCAAAACAGAATGGAAAAGATTCTAAATTGGCAACACCAAAGTTGACAACATCCAAATTGAAAGTGAGTATGTAGATTAATTTCCATCATTGGTTATTATATATTAGGAAAATTGGAAGTTGTGCTCATCTAGATTTTTGATATCTGATTTAATTATAATACCGTTGTATTGTATTATAGGAGTTAAAATAATAATATGCATGTATTTATGAATTGCCAAGTGGGATAGTTGCACAGCTTTTTCATGTAAACCTTTGAGGTATTAATGTATAGTTTAAGTTACACCGTAAAAGATCATTCTGAGGCATAAAGAGTTTCCCCTTCAGAGCAAATGTTATTACTTAGTGGTTTTATAAGCTACTTGGTGTTTGATAAATGCTTCTCCCTTTGCCGGGAAACATCTTAAAAACACAGAATGCTCAAGAGATTCTCTCCCTGTCAGTTGATACAAAATAAATGTATAAAAGCTAATAGTAGGAAGAAATACAGGTAGACCTTGCTTAACAACTACCCTGTTTAACAACTGTTCAAAACTTAAAATGGTGCTGAAAAGGAGACTATGACTGACCCTCACAGCATCCCTGAAGTCACATGATCACCGTTTGCATACTTTATATGGCTGGTTTCCAACAAGCAAAGTCAGGAGAAGCCAGCAGTAAAATCACAAGTCATAGTTATGTGATGTCTTGCTTAATGAGTGGGGTTTTTGCTTAGAGATGGTTTAGCATGGTTAAACAACAGTGGAAGTGATGCAAATCTGGCATGGTCATATGTTTTGCTTAGCATCAGTTGCCGATTCCAATTGTGATAGTTAAATGCGGACTTCATATAAATGAACTGGCTGAAACAGCACAGAAGTTCAAATAAATGAAAAGTAGAATGAGGTGTGCAAGGCAAAGACTTCTGAGTAGGCTGTATCCTTGAACAATCATCTGCAGTCTTAAGTGCTTTTTCTATCACGGCAACCTGGTCTACCCATATATGGGACGGAGCATACTGCTTCCTCTCTCGCCTTTCAGCCCCAATCCAGGAGCCTGAATTGTCGGTAAATACAAAGTTATCTGCAGTCTTGGCTCCCAGAGAATGAACACCTAATCCATCATCCTTGCAGAAGTCAACGGATGAATCAATATATTCTACTGTGGATAAAATAATCTGAAAAAGTGACAATGACAAAAGCTATATAGTATTGGATATTATTTCTGCTGAAATTTCTACTTGTGTCTACCAAAGCCAAATTAAAAAAAATTAAAGGTACATTTACAAACATGAACATTTACTGAAAAGTTAAAAGCCTGTACTTGAAATGTGTTTCAAGTCTTTAAAAAAAAAACATTCCATTATATAAACTACTGAAATTAAGTAAGCATTGCTTGCTGATAGTTGACCAAATAACGTAGTGGCCCAAGATTTTTCCCTTTCTATCTTTCATATGCTTAGTTTTCCCTTCCTCATTAAAATAACCTGAGGCTTACGTATCTGTTGTTGATCATCAGTTTTCTTGTTCTATTGTTGAGGGATTTTAATCCTATTTTGTTATGTTTCAGACTCCAGAATCCCAAAAAGAAAAGGCACCAGAGACTCCCAAAACACCACGGCCTGCAAAATCACCCAAACAGTTCTCTATAGAGGAGATAAAAGCAAAAATGCAGACAACCATCGAAAAGGTAATTTTATCACACCGAATAGCTGTGGCTACTGAGATAAGAGAGTGTATCTTATCAAGAAAACTTGATTTTTCAACATAGTGGCATTAACTGTTGTTTTCGTGGAAGAATTAGATTTTCCCTCCTGCCAATTGTAGTTTTTATTCACAGTCTCCATTTAATGTATTTAGAATAGAATAGAATTCGTTGTTGGCCAAGTGTGATTGGACACACAAGGAATTTGTCTTTGGTGCATATGCTGTCAGCGAACATAAAAGAAAAGCTACATTTTGACACGAATCATAAGGTACAATGATAGTCATAGGGTACAAATAAGCAATCAAATCATACTAGGAAACAATCAGTATAAATCATAAGGATACAAGAAACAAAGTTACGGCCATACAGTCATAAGTGGGAGGAGATAGGAAGGATGAGGAAATTAATAGTAATAGTAATGCAAACTTAGTAAATAGTTTTGTGGAATTATTTGTTTCCATTTAATGTATTTACCGTGTGAATTGCAATTTTTTAGGTCTTTGTTGACAATTCCAAGCTTTGTCTAGGCATTTTCGTGTGAACCAGTTGTATCTTAAATGAAGTTATTTATAGTGTGAAGTATAGATTTTTGTAATGTTATTTTAATGTTGTATTTGTCTGTTTCTTTCAATAGGGAATCAATCTTCCTAAGTTAGAAGCCAAGTTTGCAAATTACATTAAGAGTTGTTACAAGGCTGAAGACCCGAAGGTAATGGAATTATGTCATGATAAAAATCACTTAAATTAACAGAATTGTGTTATTTCTTAAAGTCATTACAAGGAAAAACCAGAACTGGATAGTTTTCTGATGGTGATAATGGAGAATGTTAACATTTTTCTGTTTAGGGGTGTCAATGAGTCTTTTCATTAAGCCTATAAAGTGCTTCAATCCCATTTTTGACCAAATAAAATACTTTTGTATTGAGCATTGCCCGATGCCTGTTCTTTAGTGCCCATTTCTAAATCAAAATTAATTCGTAGCTTTAAACTTTTTCCCCCTCCAAAGTCAAACAGCATGTGAGGACACACGGTAGATAGTGGTGATATTAATGTCAGGAACAAATTGGCTTAGTTGTAAATCTTAAATTTTGTGATCCAAATTTCTGAAAGAATGTTTTCCTTTCCCCCAGGAATTCATTCCTATCAAGAGATTTTGTCATGGAGAGAGAAATTGTGGTTGCTTAAAAGAGAATTCTTTACAGTTTTAGTTAAGATAGCGATAGGGCCTTTACTGTGCTTTGTAAAATGTAAGTGGGAAAATACACTGAATAATTTTAATCATTGTGATCTTGAGTGGGGCATTTAGTAAATGCTTTTAAAAATCGGTACTTGCCCGAAATTCCTGTATGTGCATCTTGTAATAAACCTAAAACTGTTATTATATTCTGTACCCGTAAATATTTTTGAAGGCATTGCATCAATTAAACAATAAGTTTATTCACAAGTTTCATTGTGTTGTAAGGTTACAAATTACAGCAGGAGTCTTTGGTAACCTAACTTCTTTATGTATATTTCTAGGTGATTCAAGAGCTGTGGCAATGGAAGCAGTCTTTGTAAGCAAGAAGTCAAATTGCTTCATTTCAAATGATGGTCATGTGTGCTTAACCATTAATACCTGACTGAACCTTTCTCTCCAGAGTCCAATTAATGTCGTCCACATTATTTTGGCAAGAATGTATGGTCCGCAATGCCTGTTCATTTTTTTTTAATACCAAGATTCCATCCTTTTCATTTAAAATATGTATGGAAATGTTTTGATAATACATAGTAGTTGTGATCTGGGAAGAAGGAGACTAAATGTAAATGTGAAAATAAAATTTTAGTATTTTAAATCGTTTTGCTGCTTTGTTATGGGAACAGAACAATTCTGTATGAATTGCCTTACAGTCATACCAACTTTCGATCACTTGCTACATTTGCCCAAGGGACTTGCAGATGCTCACTTTTCCACCAACCCATTCATTTAGTAATGCTTTTCAGAATTTACAATTCCTGCTTTAAAAAAAAAAGTGAGTTACGGCAGTGCACACAATGCATATTAAGTCAAGTCTTGTTCCTACACAGAACTGATCTGAGGTGCTTTTCTGTATCTTCTGAATATCATTTAAGGTGCATTTTTCCTCCTTTCTCTCCCCTACAATAAGTTCTATCTGGCCTCACATTAGGGATTTGTACAAAGCAGAATATTTTTCACATTTTTGAACCATCCATCTCCCTCAGAGGGAGTAGCAGCGATGTAAACGTGCTTTGTTCGGTGCATAAAATGAATGAATGCTTCTTGGACATTGGTTGCAGCATTCCAGGCAAATCATTATCTTAGGAAGATGGATCATTTTAAGTGTTCCTGGTTTTGGCTGAGACAAATCCAGAGGAGTCTTTAGGGCCAAAAAGATCAAAGCTATGTCACTTTGACCGTTTCTTCTTCCCCCATCATAACTACTGGCTTGGTTGCTGATGTTTCCATGTTCACCTGACAACGCCCCTCAGCTGCACCCATCCAGCGAGCTTCTAATCCAGCCTCAGCCCATGCACTGCCAACTTTCTCTTCCTACTTCAGAAATTCTGGGTGACTCAACTAGTCAGTCTCTCAAACCAACTTGGTTTAATAAGGTGGTAGTTGTGGGGGACTGATGGGAGCCAGAAAGTTGCAGTGCACCAAACCTGTCTGCCTAAATAAAACAAAACTTTTTAAAAAAAGAGATAAAAGGAATGCTGGAGCTTGTATTTCAGGTCCATGTGCAGGCAATGAATGCAAGCGTTTAAGTTTTGTAACCATCTCAATACTGAAGGGTATGTTAAATATTTTGCATATATCTACTTCGTAAGTTTTTTGTCCTGGATGCTTTGTGGGCTTATGAAAAAAAATGTTCCTCTTAAATAAGAAACCAAATCAGATTGATATAACAAAGCTTTTATTTTCTTTGTTGTACATGTACAAACTAATAGTGATCACCAGGCACCTTGTTAAAGAACTGAAAGTCTGGAGCAAATCAAGGCTTACAGATTATATGTTGGATTTATTAGATAATAGCAAAAGGGATATCAGTATGACTCCTGCACTGGAATGCTTTTGATAAACTATTGGAATGATAATTCTATTTTTTATAGTGGAGTCCTATCCTTTTAGGTAATTTCAGTATATACAAAAAGTTGTATATACTAGAATATATAACTAGAAGTCAATGGTCGGCAACCTCGTGGGCATCCAAAACATGGCAAGGCACATATCAACAAAGATGCAAGCTGTGGGCGCCTGCCCTGGAGACGCCTAACGGCTGACGGTGCAAAGTGGTGTTGAATGATCTGAATAGTGGAACCTGCACCTGCGGGAATCCGCTAGGAAGAAGAAGAGTATATATAAAAAGTTGTATCCATATTGTTTCATGCATTCTACTTGTTCTGAGGGAAACTGGTTTCTTGTTAACCTGTCTGCATTCTGAGGTTGAGTATTTTCTCACATTTCATTATTAAACTAGGTATCGTCACATTATACTGTTGGTGTTAACTAATTTAGTAATAAAATACATGCGAGAAAACCAAGCTCAAAGAGCACCAAAAATCCCACCTCACAACCACACTTTGTGAACTGAATGCTGAGGCACAACCAGTTCTTTAGCTACATGGAGACCCAGTAAATATAACAGCAAAAGTTTGCTGGTTACAATTTATATTTTCTCTTTCACACATGCACACATACACTCCTCCACGCCCACCTCAGCTGGGCTAGTAGTATGGCATTTGTCAAGGAAATCTACACTTGCTAGACACAATGCAGTCCTGACCGCCTAGAATTCTAGTTCATTCTGTTATGTGCCTATCCTTGGTGCACCACAGGGGGCGAACTAGTTTTACCCCAGCTGACGAGCGCTCCTGGCTAGTCTTCCCTCACCCCGCATCATGTCGCAATGCCTTGCGCTCAGGCAGACTCCAGCACCAACCTCTACTCTCAGCACACACCAACAGAGCTAGTTGTTTTCCACTAAAGTGCTACCCGTTTATCTACTCTCAACATTGTATGCTTTTGAACTGGGTGGCAGCAGCTAGGGATCAGGTGACCGGAGCTCACTCTGTCTCGTAGAGCTGGGCTCGAACTGCCAGAATGCAGACCATTTTTGGCTGGCAGTTCCTGTATCATTAAACCTCTGCAGCATGTGTTCCCAGCTAGTAAGTACAAGGAAGATGGATGGAAACCACCAAATCTGGTGGACTCAAAAGGTGGGTGGGCTTCAGAGCCTCTTATTCACCAAAGTTCTTATTTTGTTGATCCTCAAGTCTGGCAGCAACTCTTGCATTACTGATTTTCAAGTCTGGTAGCTGTCGATGGGATTTGGGGAGACATTTCCCATGTTTCAGGCCCAACTTCTTTTGTCTGGTTTAGGTGATATGTTTCCTTTGTTTCCTTAATGACTTAGTTTGTTCCTATCTATCTCCCTTATCTTTCTCCCCAAAAGGATCTTTTAGAAAATATTCCTGGGTTTTGTCCACCGTGTTTATGTGCCTGCTTCATTGTAGATAATCTGGAATGTCACTACTAATACATAGTTCAAAGGATAAACGTCTGGGCCATTTCTAGAACAACCAGATTGGTATCGTCTGGAAGAAAAATGAAAGCTTTTGTTCATACTAAATTGTTATCCATGTTGAAGCAAGTGGTTGCAGCTGTATAGTACATTTTTGTTTGGGATGAATATCTCACACACCAGGCTGTTTGAAGAATTCATTGATTTATCTCTTAAAGGAAAATATCACAACTGCTGCGCCAGTGTGATTTATATACATCGAATCTGCACTTATGGAGTAACCTATCAGGAAGGAATTTGAAAAGAAACAATGCCACTGCTTTATGGAATGTGCGCATGAAACATAATATAACTCCTAAAACAGTGGTCCTATTTTTTAGACTTGTGTGGAAGCCTGGGGAAAAAAATGAACAAAGTGGTGCTGACCCCATATAAAATTTGAACCACTTCTTTCAAAAACGTTTTGTGTGGCTCTATTCATTGTAATCAGAAGTTAGCAAGAGTTTTAGGAGCTTCCTGAGAACCTGAATCTAGTAACACTTAGATTTCCTAACTCTTGTCAGTTTGGCTGCAATGACTTGCTGGACTTACCACAGGTAATGTAACTATTCCAGCAAAAGAAATGGCTTTTAAAGCTGAAAACATTTATTGTGCTTCATACGTTGTTTTGGTGGAGGTGCGATAGCTCAGTGTCTTAAGATGCCAGAGAAGGTCTGTGCTCCAGTGGTTTTGAGTCCTATCCCTCTATGATGGAATGAGCTCCCGCCACTTGCCACAGCTCCTGCCAGCCGAGCAGTTTGAAAGCATGCAAATGCCAGTAGATAAATAGGTACCACTGGTGGGAAGATAACAGTGCTGTGTTTTGCTGTATACTCTGCACTACAGCTACAGTGTGACACAGAAACGTCTTCGGACAGTGCTAGTTCAATGGCCTAGAAACAGAGATCAACACCGCTTCCTACAGTCAGCTATGACGAGCAGCGTAAAATTAGCTGGGACTCCTTTATCTTTATATGTTGCTTTGAGTATTGAACATAATATTTGTGTTACTGTTTTCCTAAATAAAATCAGTAGGATGTTTTTGAAGTATAAGATGTGACTTTTTTGTTAAACAGAAAGCTCCTTTTCATTAATTTAGTTAGTTGAAGTTGACCTCACACTCAGCATTTGATGCTGCTTTGCAAATTAATACTGCCTGTAACAAATGTAATTTCTCAAGAGAGTGACACTAATTTAAAATCCAACTTGTTTAGTGTCAAGTTACCACACAGAAAGTGTTAGAAATTAAGACTTCACAGGAAATATTATTGTATGAAGATACTGCTTGCTTACTTTGCCCAGAATAGAAGTGATTCCTAAAGCAAGAAGTGGCTTTGAATGGTTGTGTAGATTTTGCTTAATAGGAAAGCAATTGAATAGCATTTAATAACGCCTATAAAAAGATAAAGGATCCCCTCGCATATATGTGCTTGTCGTTCCCAACTCTAAGGGGCAGTGCTCATCTCCATTTCAAAGCTGAAGAGCCAGCGCTGTCTGAAGACATCTCCGTGGTCATGTGGCCGCCAGGACTAAATGCCGAAGGTGCATGGAACGCTGTTACCTTCCCACCAAGGGTGGTCCCTCGTTCTCTACTTGCATTTTTACATGCTTTCGAATTGCTAGGTTGGCAGAAGCTGGGACAAGTAACGGGAGCTCACTCCGTTATGTGGCACTAGGGATTCGAACCGACCTTTCTGATCGACAATCTCAGCATCTTAGCCACTGAGCCACCGTGTTCCCCTAATAATGCCTATAAACAGATACAAAAATGTAACCTAATATGTAATGTTCTTTGGTAGTTCAGTGTTTCTACATAAAGTCTCTATTTCAATATTGATGTTTCCACTATCAACTTCTAATTTTATAATGAACTTTCAATAGTTTTTAACTTACAAACAAAATTGTTATAACAATTTTGGTGGAAAACCAAGATCTAAATATAAATCAGTCAATCAATAGACAGGCATATTTGTTTTAGACTTGCACATATTATCTTTAGCTACATAGTATAGTGTTAAATCATTTTAGTAATGACTCTAATTAGTTTTATTCAACTGTTGTTGTGCCCTTTTAATTGTTTCGGCAATTTTGCTGTTAAGGATGCCTTTACTTAAATGAAAACCAACATTAGATTCTCAACACTTCCACAATGCTTAATACTCCCAAATTATTTGCTTTTCTAGTTTATCTCATGATATCAGAGCTGTTTGCAGTACTTTGAAAAGTTCCATCAGAGATTTATCATCTTTGTTGTTGTTAGTTGAGAAGTCATG